TTCCGAAGGATACTTGATGGGAACAATGAGCGTGGATATAATGCTAGCATAATTTGGCCAAAAGAAAAGCAATGCTACTAGCATGATATGTCACTTTTACTAGCATAATCTATAAATGCCTAGTCGTGACTGCTTTTAGTTTGAATCTGATTGGTTGAGAGAGTAGCGCGAGTTTTCTGGACCAATCACAGAGCGAAGTAAAGCATAAACAGAGCAATCCTTGATTACTTTCAACACTCAATTGAAAACTGTTGTAAAGGGTAGCTAAGTAATTAAACCAATTCATATATTCGGTATCTATTTATCTGTTTCACAGAAAGGGAGATGCATTGGGAATGGCTCAAGAGAAGAAAGGAAAATGTTTCCCTGTACAACACATTCTTTTCCTAAAAACACACAAGACTGGTTCAAGTACGATGGCAAATATCTTTTTTCGCTACGGAAACTCGAAAAACCTTACTTTTGTCTTATCACCGGGCACTCTTCTGGGATGGCCACATAAATTCCACATAACTCATCCCCTTCGCCTCTTTAGCAAAGCACCCAACATCTTATGTAGTCACGCTAGATTTAACAAGGAACCGATGAACTGGCTTTTTCCAAAAGAAACTAGCAAATACGTTACAATTTTACGGAATCCAGTGGACAACTTTGAGTCGGTGTTTAATTTTGCACAGCTTGGGAAATCCCTTGGTTTCGGTGACAATTTGGACGGTTTGGAAAGATTTTTAACGAAAGGAATAGATTTTAACAGGACCCATAATGGTTTGATGTCCCATCTGGCGAGAAATCCGATGATGTTTGATTTGGGTCTGAATTACAAGTTTTATCAGAATCTTACTGCTGTCCAAAAATACGTACGATTCTTGGACAAAGAGTTTGACCTTGTTATGATAATGGACTATTTTGATGAATCACTGGTGCTGATGAAACGACTGCTCTGCTGGGAACTAGAAGACATTTTGTATGTGAAACTCAACGCAAGACTAGATAAAGAAATAGCGAGAAATTTAAGCAAAACTGTTCAAGAGAATATCAAACGATGGAATATGGCAGACGTTTTGCTGTTTGATCATTTCAACGCAACTTTTTGGAGAAAAGTGAAAATGGAAGGTCCAAGCTTTAATGACGATCTGATTGCATTTCGGCGCAGGAAAGAAGAGACAAAGCGTTTGTGTTTAAAGGACGAGATGCAACAAGAAAGAGCGTACCATGAAAAGTTTGTTAAGGGATATTTAGTTCGAAACGACTTAACTCCACGTTTGAAGGTTTGGTGTGGACATTTCGTGAGGAAGGAAAATTCTTTCCTGGATTACCTCCGTAAAACACGTTTGATTAAATTGAGGAATGCTGGCCTGGATAAATTTATTAGGGTTGAAAAGGAAACCGATTGGAATATAGCTAAAGATCTGCAATATAAGCCAATAACATCAACACAGATAATTCATTAGAAAACTATGTATTATTTACAATAAAGAAAATTTCAAATTTAAGTGAATGCTCTCAAACACGAATGTAATTTATATAGAGCAAGAAGTAAAGAGACAAACTGCCTTCTAAAAGAGACGAAAGGTGAAGGAGGAACTGAAATTGGCCATCTTTAGGTTTGACAGCAAGAAAATCAGCAACAGAGACCTCGTTTTTACTAGTCCGCGTTTTACTAGTCCGCGTTTTACTAGTCCTCGTTTTACTAGTCCGCGTTTTACTAGTCCGCGTTTTACTAGTCCACGTTTTACTAGTCCTCGTTTTACTAGTCCGCGTTTTACTAGTCCGCGTTTTACTAGTCCGCGTTTTACTAGTCCGCGTTTTACTAGTCCACGTTTTACTAGTCCTCGTTTTACTAGTCCACGTTTTACTAGTCCTCGTTTTACTAGTCCTCGTTTTTACTGGTCCGCGTTTTACTAGTCCGCGTTTTACTAGTCCGCGTTTTACTAGTCCGCGTTTTACTAGTCCGCGTTTTACTGGTCAGCGTTTTACTAGTCCGTGTTTTACTAGTCTGCGCTTTCCTAGTCCTCGTTTTACTAGTCCAGTCCAGTCCAGTCCACGAAATACCATATGCCTGTTAGAGACAAATATATGGAAAATCAAAATCTTAATTTGCGGCTTTTTTCGCGAGACTTAATTTCTCAAATTTGATCGGTAAACTGGTAGGTCTGGTATGTTTAGTTTGTAATTCATAGAAATTGCGCGATGTCAACCTTCCTCAAATTATCGAGCATCATTTTCTCAACTTTTTCCATACATTCACTGTACATTTTGCGTTCGCCCCAGTAGTTTTGCACCCCTGGCGAAATGGCGGCGTTAACCTTGAAAGGGTCTATTCTGGCCACTCACTGTCTGTTCTCATAACGTATTTGTAGGAAATCGCAAGGAGAAGTTATCAGTTGATCGCCACACGGAGATTGAGCGTTTTTTTTTTCGATTGAACGTCAGGAAAATACCAGTAAGGGCCTAGCCAATAAAACGTCCAACAAAAACCGACCAAACTGCTAAAAACGCGTGCGACCAAGTCGTGACTAGGCATTTATAGATTATGCTAGCATAATTTTTGGCATAGTTCGAGCAAACTGGCATAATTTCTGCCAAGTAGCAATGCTAGCATAATTTGCGCATTTTGATAATTATCAGATCATTTTTGATGCCATTATTTGATAATTTTTTGTCTCTAGTCCCAAGCACTCTGTGACCTTAATCGATATTTAAAGTTTTAGTTAAACTAGTAGCATTTGTAGTTCACTGTGAAGCACTGAGCCCGGGTCTAACCTGAACCACATGTTTATTTGAAATTCATTGTGGATTTGTTGCGTGCCTTTCCTGTAGACGAACGGCTTCTAGTTAAAAAATATATATTTTGGACTTATTTGCATTTTTTCAAAGAGAATAATTTAAAAAAACGGTGGCATAATTTGGAAAAAAGGGCATAATGCTAGCATAATTTGGCCAAAAGAAAAGCAATGCTACTAGCATCATATGTCACTTTTACTAGCATAATCTATAAATGCCTAGTCGTGACTGCTTTTAGTTTGAATCTGATTGGTTGAGAGAGTAGCGCGAGTTTTCTGGACCAATCACAGAGCGAAGTAAAGCATAAACAGAGCAATCCTTGATTACTTTCAACACTCAATTGAAAACTGTTGTAAAGGGTAGCTAAGTAATTAAACCAATTCATATATTCGGTATCTATTTATCTGTTTCACAGAAAGGGAGATGCATTGGGAATGGCTCAAGAGAAGAAAGGAAAATGTTTCCCTGTACAACACATTCTTTTCCTAAAAACACACAAGACTGGTTCAAGTACGATGGCAAATATCTTTTTTCGCTACGGAAACTCGAAAAACCTTACTTTTGTCTTATCACCGGGCACTCTTCTGGGATGGCCACATAAATTCCACATAACTCATCCCCTTCGCCTCTTTAGCAAAGCACCCAACATCTTATGTAGTCACGCTAGATTTAACAAGGAACCGATGAACTGGCTTTTTCCAAAAGAAACTAGCAAATACGTTACAATTTTACGGAATCCAGTGGACAACTTTGAGTCGGTGTTTAATTTTGCACAGCTTGGGAAATCCCTTGGTTTCGGTGACAATTTGGACGGTTTGGAAAGATTTTTAACGAAAGGAATAGATTTTAACAGGACCCATAATGGTTTGATGTCCCATCTGGCGAGAAATCCGATGATGTTTGATTTGGGTCTGAATTACAAGTTTTATCAGAATCTTACTGCTGTCCAAAAATACGTACGATTCTTGGACAAAGAGTTTGACCTTGTTATGATAATGGACTATTTTGATGAATCACTGGTGCTGATGAAACGACTGCTCTGCTGGGAACTAGAAGACATTTTGTATGTGAAACTCAACGCAAGACTAGATAAAGAAATAGCGAGAAATTTAAGCAAAACTGTTCAAGAGAATATCAAACGATGGAATATGGCAGACGTTTTGCTGTTTGATCATTTCAACGCAACTTTTTGGAGAAAAGTGAAAATGGAAGGTCCAAGCTTTAATGACGATCTGATTGCATTTCGGCGCAGGAAAGAAGAGACAAAGCGTTTGTGTTTAAAGGACGAGATGCAACAAGAAAGAGCGTACCATGAAAAGTTTGTTAAGGGATATTTAGTTCGAAACGACTTAACTCCACGTTTGAAGGTTTGGTGTGGACATTTCGTGAGGAAGGAAAATTCTTTCCTGGATTACCTCCGTAAAACACGTTTGATTAAATTGAGGAATGCTGGCCTGGATAAGTTTATTAGGGTTGAAAAGGAAACCGATTGGAATATAGCTAAAGATCTGCAATATAAGCCAATAACATCAACACAGATAATTCATTAGAAAACTATGTATTATTTACAATAAAGAAAATTTCAAATTTAAGTGAATGCTCTCAAACACGAATGTAATTTATATAGAGCAAGAAGTAAAGAGACAAACTGCCTTCTAAAAGAGACGAAAGGTGAAGGAGGAAATTGGCCATCTTTAGGTTTGACAGCAAGAAAATCAGCAACAGAAACCTGAAAACTAAATTTTACAAAGGATTCTGATGATCAGTAACTTGTATTTTTATTGTGCCAAATTTGAAGTCGGCAAACATCAGTTTATAGGCAACTTAATTCCATGAAGAAAATAATTTTGAACTGCTTTATCAACAAAACAGAAAAAAACTCGTGCCACTCTCTCGACCAATCAGATGCGAACTGAACTGAAACCAATCACGAGTTGGTCGCCCGCATTTTCTCTTTTTTTTTTTTTTGTCTTTTTTTGTTTTTTTTGTTTTTACATTGACTTCCAATTGGCACTTAAGATTTTTCCCTTTCCTCTGATTGGCCGCTGTAAATTACTTTGGTTTTATGAGATTTACAAGGGGCTTCGTGTACCTTTTCCGCATTTCAGTAAATGAAATCCATTTGCGAGGAATCTTTGTAAGTAGTTCGGTTGGTTTCCAAAGCCAAGCGTCTCCCCCAGTTTCATGTACCTGAACGCCGATTCAAAGTTATCTACTGGATTTCGAAGAATTGTTATGTACTTGCTAGATCCTTTTGGGAAAAACTAGTTGATTGGTTTCTTGTTAAATCTTGTGTGGCTGCATAAAATGTACGGTCTTCTCGTCAGAAGTGGAGCGGCGATAGAGGTTTGAAATCTTTGAGGCCAATCAAACTCAACATACCTTGGAAGAGCCAAAGCGAGATTTCTGAAATCGCCATAGCGAAAGAAAATAATTGACATCGTACTTGAGCTTGTCTTGTGCGTCTTAAGAAAAAAGATCGATGTTGTGGCGAACAGTTTGGTGTGGAAAGGGGATCTACACGGGCAGATACGTTGCCGACTGTTTTCATAGTTTCCCTGTAGTTAATGAAAGAAAAAAAGTAGATTTATCAACAGCTCAAACTTTACAATTTGAGTCTGTTCAAATTCAAATTAAGTTCGGTCTATGACAAATTCGGCGTCTAATCCGGGGCAAAAAAATATTAGAACTTTTCTCTATGATCCAGAAAGACGAACTTAGCACTGATTTCAAAATCTTGGCCAGTTTTCAGCAAAATAACAGCGTTATTGAAGCAATTTTGTGAGATCTGTTTGTGCGATTGCTGACTTCCTGAAAATTCACCTTTTCTGAGGAAATAACAAAAACTTTCTTGTGTAAAGGAAAGGTAACAAAACGTTTCCTCAGAGGCCAGAACCAAAGCGAGGAGAAGAGGAAGAAATATACGCTCCGCACTATTATATGTTTTTGTGAGGGACAAATAAAATACTAAAAATTTATGGAAACAAATTAATTCATTACAAGTCTTAAAATAGGTAAAAGGTAAGGTGACTCGTCCACAAAATTGAAGCTTATGCTTATTCTCTTTTCAGTATCCTTTTTTTGAACCAGAGACTTGAGGTAAAACTTACCTTATGTCTTCATAATGTATAATAATAATAATAATAATAATAATAATAATAATAATAATAATAGGGTGACGCTCTGTGTCCATGGCTATTTACCTTGTGTCTTAATCTGGTTGCGTGGAGACTGAGCTCTACCGAGGGTTATAGGCTGTCAAAGCCGATCGCGTCCAAGATTACGAACTTGCTCTACACAGACGATCTCAAGGTGTTCGCCGCCTCTGAAGCGAAATTGAAAAGAGTGCTGGAGATGGCTCAGACCACGATGGGGGACATCGGCCTGCAGTGGAACCCCAAGAAGTGTAATGTTTTGTATGTGAGTAGGGGAATTACCTTACAAGATTCCGAAGGATACTTGATGGGAACAATGAGCGTGGATTGTCTTTGAAAGAAGGACTTGCATTATCATTTTCTGGGAGTACCAGAACAGTTATTGCAAGATGAGAAGGTGGTTTTGGAGCGAGCAGCTAACACTTACCTAAGACGAATATCCGTCATCTGGTGAAGCCCACTCTCGGACAGCAACAGAGTGGTGGCGTCTAACCAACTAGCGCTACCGGTACTCTCATACCTCATGAGCTCACAGCATAGGAACATTTCTGACTTAAAGAAATTGGATAGACAGGCTCGTAAGATTACCAGCAATAGCAGTGGGAAGCATCCGCTTGGATCAACTTCTCTTATCTACCTGCCTAGAGCTCTAGGAGGGCGTGGCCTGAAGTCTGTGGAGACTGAGTACAAACAAATCAAGATTAAGTCAGCTATCAGGCTCTATAGTAATAACGACCCAACCATGAGCCTGGTGAGAGCCATTGAAGAGCAAGCCACAACTCATGGTCATCAATCTCTATTAAAGGAGTCCGCCAAATTCTCTGAAGAGTTTGGGGTTGCTCTCGAGCTCTCCTTTCCTGAGCCAAAATGCCGAGACAGGGACGGGCAGGAAGTACCATTAGATAAGCTCAAGAGGCTCTTAAAGAGAGCTGTTACAGCTGAACGCCAAGAAAAGATCCAAGAAGAAAGGTGGCAAGGAATTTCCTCTCGGCGAGGTGGGAAGACGACAAGCTGAATCAAAGCGGGTGTTGGGATTGGCTGAGGAGCTGGCCGGAGGCACCCGCACACACTACTGCGGGGATTGTAGAGTTACATGAGCAGCTTACACCAACAAAGCTGCATACAGCGAGGAAAGTGAGAACAACAC